TAATTTAAAAAAAAAATTATCATTACCTTTACTCACCAATTGTGCCCTGAATTCCAAAATACCTGCGGCAAAAAAACAGGAAAAAATATACTACTCCGGTTCTTGATTAAACAGCTAGTTGACTAATTTGAGTAGATTAAAAAAATTAGTTAAGTTACTTATCTGTAATAAATAACTACTGTCTTTCTTTAAATATCCTTGTTAATCAAGTGTATTGGCTAGAACTATCATTATTACAAGGACTATTTTAAAAAAAATTAATAAATATAAGAGATAAAGTAGATTAGAGTCTTATATTTAAAACCAAAATAAAAATTAAACGAGTTGTTATATTAAGGACTAGTATATAAGTAGGCTGTATATGTGTATATATTGTGAGTGATGAGGTTGTTGAGGGAGAGGAGCAGCAGACAGTAGTAAATGGCAAAGGATGCTAATACTTGTAACAGTACAAATTAAAGGAGAAAGAGCGAGTCGCTGTGCAAATGTGTGTGTGTGGGTTAGGGAAGTTGTGTTGATTTCTGGGGAAGCTTTTGTTGTTGCTGCTGAGGTTGACACTACTGTGCCCACCTTCGTAACTTCGTTTTCCTCGCATTTATATTCACTAGGTTGTATATGTCTATTGTCTAGTTCCTCCTCCACCAATATTAAAATGACACTTTCTGATATAATGGACACAGATCATATGCAATCGATAACCAATTAATTAATTAAACACACACAAACTCTTGTTCTCCCTAGCTTGTACTTCTCCCTGGCAACTAATTAATATCACTTCCCACAGTCATATTATTCCTGCTGTGAAAATCCCAATCATTTTGGTCCGTACCCGCAGATCAAGGAGTAAATAATTAATGGAGCCACCAAGATATATGAGCTTCTTATGTTCAAGTATGAAGAATCAATTTAATTCCCTTGGAAATCATCAAATGTATGTGTTAATTAGAATGGAATTTAATTGTAAAAAAGAAAAGAAAATGAAGAGTTGGGCACATGAATCCCAGCTTTTTGACACCATATAAATATATATATATATATATATATATGTATATATCTTATGGTCAAAGTACAAGTCAAGCAATGCGAAGACTAAACGTACCGACAAGTTCACAGAAAGCTCACCTCAATCAAACCTTATTATTATATAGTAAAACACAAATTTACCATATTCGACCGAATTATTACCAGTTATTTCAATCCATTATTTGATATTTTCTTTCCTTAAACAAAATCTTAAGTTCGAGTCTTGTGAATTACAAACTATCTGCTATATCTTGTTTTGGATCAGCTAGAATCTAATATAGTTAAAGTTGGTATGTAGATAACGATTTTTTCTACTGCAAAATAAAAAATTAAAATGAAAACTAATGATAAATAATTTATTAATTGACAAATTAAATCAGGTCCAGATAACGTAACAATTATAATTTTGATATGCAACAACAATCAGCCGCTAATGAGTCATTTTTTTGCAAAAGAAGTTAAAATAAAATCTAGGCGAGGGGGTTTTGAAGGCTTACTAGCTAGGGTTTTGCAAAGTCTCATTGCGTAAGCAACGACTAAAAAATTATTTATATATAAAGAGAAGAACTTTAAATTTTTTTTGTTTGGTGGGGCAAGGAAGGCAAGTGGCATACCGTCCTCTAGGCTTTAGTGACCAAATATTGGGGAAAAAAATCGTTACATTACATGATCAATTATGTGGAAAAATTCATAATATAATTAAAAAACAAAGCTGGACCTAGGTATGAGGATATATATATATAAGTAGGTTACAAAATAACAAGGCTTTATGATCATGAGTTTGGAAAATATTATATGTAAGAGGTAATTTATAATAAAGAGAGCTGCAACATCATTCCCCCATGCTCAATTATTATTCTCAATATTTAAATATGTGATATTAAAGTGTTATTTTAATACAGATTAATTTAAAAAACAGTTGAAGGCTAACTTTTTCCCAGAAAACAAATCATAAGATGGGATTTGCTTTAAAGTATGCATTAATAATTATTGTTTGCTTTAAAATAAAAATATAAGAATGAAAAGAACAATAGCTAGCAGATATAGGGGAAGATGGCTTCAGACTTGTTAATAGGATCATCTTCATTATAATCCTAAGCAAGTGGAAGATTGCTGGGATTTTCATTGTACCCACAACTCAAAAAGAGGAACACATACATATATATACACACGTTTGTAATCTTTAACTTGTCTCTGATCTCTCCCTCTCTCTCTCTCTCTATAAAATTTGAATAAAAATTTTGATGTGGAAGAAAAAGACAGGATACCATCCACTAATCAGCAAACATTTACCTCTCTTGTCCTTCAATTCAATTGCACAACCTCTCCTGCCTAGCCTGGCCTTCCAAAACTGCAAATTAGTACCTGCATTTTGGTCCCACCTCAATGCTAGTTGTCATATATGAAAATGATTTCTACCCAGGTTTCCATTTATTGCTGTCCTCTTTCACAGCTCTCTCTCTCTCTCTCTCTATATATATATATATATATAAAAGAAAATAAGTAAATGTATGGCCAGCAAAAGTTCCCCTTCCTCTGATTTTATGTACTCTCTCCCATCATCCTTACTATAAGCATCCAATAACAACTTTACAGAAATGGATGAATGTAGTTAAATTAGTTACTTCTAAAATATTAAAATTATTTAAAATTCATTAGTTATAGGAGTCCAACTAATTAGTTATTACCAAGTTTCATAGTTAGTCAGGAACACTACATGAAAAAAAATCAATACTTTAAGCACAACATGTTATACTATGAAACCTGTTGGAAGTTCTTTATAATAAGAACCAAAGGAAGTATCAGATATAGTTTTCACATGCATAATTCAACGGATGAGTAGGAAGCATCTTTCAATACCCGGATTTCATTGTGTTATCTAGATACTCCTGCGATCCTAAATATAAGACCCTTATACACACTATAAAACCCTCATACTAGTATGTTAAGGGTCTTATATTTAGGACCTGTGGAGTATTTATTTTTTTATGTCGACATGGTGTCATTGAGCATAAAATTTAAATTCACAAGTCATAAAAAATTATAGCTAATTTTTTTAAAATAATGGTGCAAATAGTAAAGGAGTTACATGAAAATTCAAAAAAAAAAAAACCAAGGAGGAAGAATGATTGGGATGAGAAGGACGAAGAGTTGAAATGGGCATTCGTGTGTTGTGGGGAAAGGGAAGATTATCAGTGGACATGTGATGAAGGGCCACTCTGCTGCCGCTGCCTCCCTTATCAGAGGTAGACAGTTGGAATCTTTGTGAGCATATTAACCAGCAACCCCTCCTCCAACAACCATTTTTCATTTCAATTATTCCTTAATAAATATTAATTATCTTTCAGATTTAATCACGCTTCTCTCTCTGCTTTTTTTTTTTAAAGCCACGTAACGAGTATAACCATAAAAAAAAAAAGATACAAAAACAAAGCAAACCAATAGCCCAAAACGAAAAGGCTCGCAAAACATAAAGCCCCACACGAACAAAGCCCACACAAAAACCCAACTTTAATTAAATTAAACTATTCCATAAAACTGATTAAAACTTTCAATTAATTAAACAATTAAGCTTCCACCAAATCTTATCTCATCCAAAGGACAAGTCGAATGATCCGAAACCAGCAAGCTGGGTCCCTGTCCGCTCTCACATGTACTCGTACTTTCAACGTTTCTTGGAATCGTATTGGCTCCTAATTCCACAAATTAATTATTAATCATTTAATTAATTGAAAAACAGCAACGTTGGATGATGCCAAGTTATGCGGCAAACGGCTGGAAAGAATGTACTAATGACACAATCATACCCCAGGAGCTCTCTGCTTGCTTAAACCTGACAAAACCAGCCGCCATCACTGTTGTCAGTCAATATTTGCAACCATCCAGGTTACCACGTCCCAAATAGTTGTTACGTCCTCTCATCGTTTGTGCCTTGTGAAAAGGCTGTCATTTTTTCTTCTTAAAAAAATTACATAATGCTGAAGCTCAGTTGTGTTGTAAGGATGTTGCCACAAATCCTGTCAAGTGCGTGGCCTCATATAAAGCTAAGATGGAAACTCATTTTCCATGACAGTTTCTCCGGGAACCCAGACTGGCACGGGATTTGCCTATTCTTGAAGTCATTTTTTGGTTTGTTCTACGACAGTCGACGAGGAATTCCGACGAACCAAGGTTGCCTTACTATGAAACTACTTGTGTTAACATGTGAGCGGATCCACTTCTCTAAAGAAATGAGATACTCCTCCGGTCCTTAATATAGGACTCAACTCTTGAGTTGATTTTAGTCTTAATATAAGAGTCCTTTCTTATATTTATTAATTTTCTCTAAATTACCCCTATGAATACTCCCTCAACCATAATCAAGTAAAAGAGGGAGAGAAAGTATTAAGAAAGATGATTATAGTGTTTTAGAAAAAATATGTCACTTTTCTTATAATTAACTAACTTATCTAACTTCCTTAATCTAATCAAATTAGTTAAATAGGTCTTATATTAAGGGTCGGAAGAGTATTAATGAAACAGAAAAGAAACGAGACCTATGTTTCCATGACCACATCCGCAACATGGAATCATGCGTATGTCCAAAAATGTTCTATAAACAAATAGGTAACAAGAAAATAAAAAGAAAATATCCCCATATTTTGCTTGCTCTTCGGTCAATGTGCCATAAACGCGCAACTGCAGCTCAAATTAAACAGAGATACTAGCAGATTTAAGAGAGAATAAAATTCTCTCGTATATTTAAAATAAAAAACCCATATAAACAGATTGTACTGTTTCCTTTTTCATCTCTTTTCAAATGCATTACACTCATTTGCTTTCATGACAGCAAATGATCTAGATTGTTGAGATAGGTAACTCAAGCAGATTTCTTAAGAGAAACAATAGTTAGTACGAAAACAACATGCCTTGACCCATTATGTGGAACCGCTGCATGAATTATCACTTGGAAAAGCGCCCCAAAAAAAAAATAGAGGAAAAAAAATCAAACAGCTATACACTAACTGACATGGTAATGATTATAGTTAACTCCATTTAGAGGTGTAAAAAAGCTAATGTAACATTAAAAACCAGAAAAGTCCATCAGGGGATGAAACCAGCAGGGCAGAAGCTCAATGGATAATAAAATAAATAGAATATGATCATAGCAAGCGAGTGCCCTCAGCACACCTGCTGACATTAGTTAAAGAGGGTGGCCTAATTAGCATCCCCTAAAGCCCACTTCACATAATCCTATAACCACAATAAACTTAAAAGGACACCCCACCATGATATGTTCTCTCACTTGCCATCATCTTCGTCACCCTCATCATCATCATCATCCTCTTGGTCTTCGTCATCATCTTCAGAGTCATCTTCATCCTTTCCCTACCAAGAAGGAAAATTGATAATGGCAGATGTTTAGTGCGCTAATGGTTTCCAACGGCAATCACTAGGGTTCAACCAACTGGTGGAAAAAAATACCTATTCAACTTATCAAAACATCCTCAGCACGTAAAATAGTGTGGCTCCTTAAGGACTGAGGGAGGGGGAAAATAAAAAAGCGGAAAGAGAGAAATACTACACAAGACCAAGTTTTTTCTCCTTTGACAAAGTTTTAACTATACCATCCACTAAAAGCATTACTATAAGACCCATAACAAACAATGAACCCAATGATTACCTTCCTCTAATAAATTATTAACAGTTTAATCAACACTGCAAGAATATTTTTCCAATCATCCAAGGGATAGTCACAAAAATAACTCTTCACTTACCTCATCATCACCATCTTCCTCATCAATATCCTCTTCATCAGGCTCCTCCTGCCCCATTAAAGCATCAAATACAATAAAAAACATGAGAACCTCAGAGACAGAGGCCCCCACCCCCGGGGGGGGGGATTCTTGAGCATCACCTGAAAGTACAATTGACATTAACAGGAGGGAAATATACCAAAATTAAGAGTAAACTCACATTATTAAAATATGTTAGTGGATTTGGCCACAAATCGTCCTTGATTAGTTCTGCAATCTGCTATTTAGAATAGAACATCACATCAGGAACAACAAGAGATAGAAATAAAAACAAGGTGAAGGAAAGATCTGTAATAGAGATACAGGTTATCCATAGCTGGGATGTTCAACAGTAGGAGGAATGGTAGAAGACCAAGAAAATCTTACCTCATCGTGAATGTCATCCATATCATCTTTCTGCTCAACGTCACTGAACCAGCTAAAGAAACTGCACTCAACAATTTACAGACAGAGTGAGGTGCATCCAAGAAATGCTAACTATATGTCTTGTAAAATGAAGAGAGAAAAGCCCTCCAGCTGTCTCAGATTCACAAATCAAGTATGTGCAAAATTCTATATCTTCCGTAAGTTATATTCAGTAACAACCAATAAGTGCAAAAACAATGGAAAAAAGAAAGCCTAACAACAGGCAAGCAAGAAAAGTTTGATTACTGGTAAGTAATATAAAGGAAGCATTGAATTTCGGATTTCCTCTGTTCTTAACCAGATCAGGCTATATAAGGAAACAATATTCCGAAAGAAAATAAATATGGCACAAACCTGTCGTCAGTTGGGGGTCGCTTGTTCCCTTTCTTCTCATGGACTCCATTGGGTATACCCTTCAATTTTCCCACCACAAGTGTATTATGTTAAAACAAACACCAGAAAGAGCCCAGAAGCTACAGAAAGAAAAACAAAAGAAGCTAAGAGCCTCACCTTTCCCTCTTTCCATTTTATAGGCGTCGCAGTGACCTTTGTGGTTCCTTCTTCAAGGAAGGTGTAAGTCTTGGTAAGTTTAGTATCCTCAAAATATGGATTGGGATTGAAATTCTGAAAAAGAAATATTTAAACACTGTTTAACATTCAATGAAATATACAATCTAGGAGCGTTCAAGTGTAACATCAGTTTCCACAGTCAACAAATGATTTGCCATTACTTAATAGGAATAAAACAGCAACAAAATGAAAGGAGGAAGCAACAGAGGAAGTGCAACTTACAAAGGTAATTGAATATCCTGATTTGACGTCTTTAAAATCTTCAACCTCCAAAGAACTCAAATACTTAAATATCTACTAAATAAGATTTCAATCAGTTACTAGGCAGGGCTACGTGATCAAACAAACAGAAATATGGGCACTGTTGCCACTGAACCCCTCACATCCACATCAACTCCGGAGATACTTACGAAAGCAAACAAAGAGAATAGATGTAAAAGTGAGGGAAAATAGTGGATTGCAAAATTCAAACTTTAGGGACTTTCAGACCTTTTGATCTTCTTCATTAAGAACCTCACCAAGAGCAGGATGACTCAGAAACTGCAAAAAGGAGAACGGCTCAACGACATTCCTAAATTCATAGCATCAAGAAACTTCATCACCACATCAATTAAGGGGCAAAGAATTAATACTGACAGCTGTTGTCCAGAAGTCAGGAATAGTTTTGATAATCTCATTCCGCTTCTCATAGACAGGCTTCCTTATCTCATTGTACTTCTGCTCTATTTCGAGAACTTTATCACTTGCCTCCTCATTGATCTACAATGTCCGTCAAAATGAAAAAGAATGAATTTTCATTACGGAATAGACGAGGTCGATATAGCTCTCGAGCGTCAGTGTTAAAGAACAAACCGCAGCTAAACCTTGATACAAGCGCATTCAGAAACATGAATTACTTTTACGTTTTTTAAATGCTAAGACCCAAAACAGAAGCAGATAACCAACCGCAGAGTTATATCATCACCATTATTTCATCTCAAACCTGAAGTTGAAATTCAGAAATATAGGACTTGACATGAAAGTTCAGAACTTCAATTTGGCAACGAAACATACGAGGAGACCAATCACGACACATGAGCATGTGTAGTGGCTATGATACCTTTTCGAGCTCGTCTTGGGTCTCCTGCAGCTTCTCAATAGAGAGCACAAGCTCTCCATCGATTTCCTCTAAGTTCTCGCCCTTCTCGGCAACTTTCAACTTTTTGGTCTTGTCGGCCACCATCTTCGCCCTCTTCCTCTTTCGCTCTCTCTGGTAAACACAGGGCACTCACTAACTTGCTCTCTGATTGCCTAAAACCCTGGCACCCTATATGCTTCAAAATGTAAAGGGTAAGAGCGGGGAAGTGAGAGAGAGAGAGAGAACGAAGGTGTTAGGGTTTTTGGGGTTTATATCTAGTGTACGGTCTGAAGTGCGGCTTCAAACCGGGGATCAACCACCACATGACAACTGTCCCTACAGGGCACATTCGACATTGCAAGGACTTTCTAAAAAATTATTAATTCCTTATAATTACACATGTTTTTTTTTTTAATCAGGCACAAAGACTCAATTAAAAATTAGGTAAAATTTTAAGGACGTGATAAAAAAAATTATAAGACATGATTAAAAATAAGCGAAATTAGAAGAATATACTAAAAAGAAAGGAACTATAAGCCTAATTAAAATAAGATGAAAAAATACAGACTTGTTGATTAATTTTTCCTTTAAAAAATTTTTAAGATTTAAAATTTTGGTTGGAATTATTTTTTTTCAAATTAATTTTTTTAGTGTTGCCCAAAAAAAAAATACAACTTTGATCATTTTAGTACTCCCTCCAGTCCTATTTATAATATTCAAATTTGGAGAATGATGTGATCTATTTTATAAGTTTCAATTTAGAGTTTGTCTAGACATTTGATTCTTTTTTTTTTTTTGCTCTTAATTGTTTGTTCTCTCTCCTTTGACATACCATCATCTCATATTTTCCCATATCTTTTTTTTTAATTTTTTTATTTATTATAAAGACATATTGGAAACAAAATTATATTTCTAACCTATTTATTATTTTTAATTAATTTTAACTATTTATTTGTTATTCATAAAGTAGTTATTTGACACTCATAATAAGCATTAGAAAGAGTATTTATTTATAATATTTTTTGAATAAAAATTGAAATTCCGTGGAGAATCTTTACGACGCCTCCAACATACACGACAGAAAATTACTTGGTCTTCCATGTTGTCAATGATATGGGAAGTCTTGAGATACGAGATGGACTGGGAAGTTGCTTATGAGCATGTCCATAGAAAAGAAGGGTAAAAAAGAAAGCTAACCTTTGTGCGCGCTGGGATGTCAATGCATCGATGCATCCCATTCTACGGATATTGAGTCTACCATCGTGACAGTAACAAGGTTAAGCATTGATATACTACTTCTGAGTTCTGATGATACTTGGTGGATATCTAATTTAATTTTAAATATAAAATTTTAATTTATTTTATCTTTTATATTTATTCATGTTTTCCATAAGTAGTCTTATGGTGATTGTACATGATAAAAAAATTTAAATGATATTTTAAAGAACACAACACATGTTTATTAAAAATAATTAACTTAATTTAAAAATTAGTTATTTAATTATTATTATATTAAGGATGATGGTAGTAGTTATTAGCTAAAAGTAAAATCAGCAGCCTGGCAAAAGTGACTGAAGTCTTTTGTGCTTTATAGGACAATTTCCTTCCCATGTTAATCTATAAATCAAACTAGGTGCCTGTTTGGGAGAGCTTATTTTGGGTTATAAGCAGCTTATTTTGAGAAAAAGCTCGATCAAAAAATTTGATGTTGTTTGACACAGCTTCTACGCAATTGAGCTTGAGAGCCAAAAGCTATGCAAACGTACGATTAAAAATAAGCTAAGAGAGTGAGCTTATCTGAAAGAGCTTATGGACTGTTATCCTCTTTTTATTTTTCTCTCTGATGACGAAAAAATCTCTCCGATGCTAAGACCCGAGGACTCAGCTTACACATGTTTGTCTTCTTCGTACTCCGATGATACAGCTGACAGTGAAGAGTAGCTATCGTCCTCTCCGTCTTTGAGCTTCCATGATTGTTTCAGACGAGAAAGAAAATGAGAGAGAGAGAGAGAGAGGAGAGGGAAGGCCGAACAAAAGCAAAGGGAATTAGGTTGTGAACGAAGCTTTTTTCTTTGTTATGATTTACAATAGTTTTTTGTAATTTTTCTAATATTTTAAAATTTAATTTATTTATTTAATTTGAATTTTTCATACTAAATTAATTTAAATTTATTGTATTAAATTTTTTTAATCATGTTTTACTTTATATTGAAAATATTTCTTATGATTTCTCTAAAGTTTTCAATTTTAATCTACTCTAAAAATTTCACTTCTTCATTATATTATCTCAATTCATTTTTTTTTTATCTTTCACTTTATATTTAAAATATTTTTTTTATGATTTTAATAAAATTTTAAAATTTAATTCACTCATTAAATTTGACTTCTTTATATTAAATTATTTTAATTTCATTGTATTATGTGAAATTATTTTTTTATCATGTTTCATTATTATTAAAACTCATACTCATTTTGGTTATTTTACAACCAAACTTACTTTTACTCAACCATAACCCAAACAACTTTTTACTAATCTCATTTTTACAAACTAGCTTTTCTGAACTCCAATCCAAACACAATTCAGCTTATCCAATTTAGCTTTTACCCAACTTTACTTTCCCATAAGCTATTTTTTCAATAAGCTACTTTTCTAATCACTGATCCAAACGGACCCTAGATGCATTTTCTTATGACAATCTTTGGCTTGAATGGTATGTTCACATAAGGATAGAACTCCATTAATCAATCGATGGGCGCTGGTGGAAGCATGCGTAAATAACTTGCGTTTCTTGGCATATGAGAGCTTCCAACACTAAGAGATTGAAAACTAGGACTGTTCACAGAACAAATCGGGACCAGGACAGGCCTGTCCCGATAAATAGTAACGGGATAAAAAATTGTCTCTTGTCCTGTCCTGTCCAAGTGTTGTCCCAATCCCGGTAGGAACGAGATGTTATCGATACGTCCCGATATATTTTTTTTTAAAAAAGTTTTTTGAGTTGTTAGGCCTGTTACAATAAAATCTTTTTTTTTTCCTAATTGTAGTTTTTTGAGCTTAGGCCTTGTAAAAAAATATTTTTTTATTTTTTATTTCTTTGGCACCCTTAAGTAAAAGTTCAAAATATTACATATAATAATCATTAAAAATTCTAAATGAAAGCTTTTAACATAATAAAAACTTGCTGGAAATTCTAATAATTAATAGTTTCAAATCATCAATAAATATAAAAACTTTAAATAAATGGATTCATAATCCCATATAATAGTCTCAAATCATAAAAAATATGAAAATAATATTATATAACTATGATTTTTAAAAAAAAAAACAGAGCTCGGAACGAAATGACCCAATCCCAATCCTCTTTTTTGTCTTGTTCTGAAAATTTTCAGGACAAACCCGTCCTGTTCTAATAAGATTAGAACCAGAACAAGTCGACCTTGAACACCCCAACCAAAAACAAGACGCCAAAGAGGAGTTGGACTAACTAGGCTTGAGGTTCGGGAGTAGCTCTCAATTCAAGGACATGCTTATAAACATGTATCACTTCTGTGAAATATTCTCAATTTACTTGGAATTTGGTGATAATTCATTTTTACTGTTAAACAACACATTGCCCTTTGACTAACATCAACTAATGGCGGGCAAACAGCTAATAATCAGAGAAAATAATTTTATATTTAATATCAATATCTTCTTGGACAAATCAAACCATACTTCTAAGGGCCGTTTGGTCCCCTAGAATTTGAAGCTGGCGAAGAAAATGAGGTTAAAAAAAATAAAAAAAAGTGGCCTTAGTATGGTTTCGTTGGAATAAATCAAGCTTCTTTAGGACCTGATTTCCAGCGTTTAGTCACAATCAACCTTCGTGCAATTCTCAATTTGTCTTGCCAAAATTGAATAAAATTACACTGGGACGAATCAAATCACAGAAAAATTACCATTCCAAAATAAGAAAGGTAATTTAAGCAGATTTGTGAAAAGAAATCACCCTCAGTAGGTGCGTCTGCCATATGAATTATCATTAGTAAAAGCAAAAAAAAAAACAGAGAGAGAAATAAATTGAAAGAAAACCAAGTAGCTATACACTAATTAATATGGTATTACTTGTAGTTACCTCCAAATAGAGAAGGAAAAAAGGCTGATGTGAGTAATAGTAAAAACTGATGAAGTGCATCAGGGGATGAAACCAGCAGGGAGAAATAACCTCAAAGGACAATAAAACAAAAAGAATGGTCACAACAACTGGCCGGCCTTGGTACGCCTGATGACATAAGTTAATACCCAAAAAAGGATGGCCTGCTCACCATCCCCTAGAGCCCACTTTACATACTCCTATAACCACAAAAAACGGAAAGGCAGCCCCCCTCGTGATATATTCCCTCATTTGCCATCATCTCCGTCACCCTCATCATCATCGTCGTCATCATCTTGGTCTTCATCATCATCTTCAGAGTCGTCTTCATCCTTTCCCTGCCAAAGAGGAAGAATGATAATGCAGGCTAATATTTGCATCTACTATTTCTAAAGTTATGCCATCATTCAGTTCAAATGAAAAACATGCCAGACTTGGAGATTGATCTATTGAAAAAAATATAATGGCGGATGTTTAGTGCGCTAATGGTTTCCCACCAAAAGAAATTACTTATATTTTTCATCTAAAAAGCATGTCAACGGCTGCATGATTTCATCGAAAACGTTTGCAAGGTCAGTATTTTTTCTAATCCAAGCATCAATGTCACGGAAGATTCCACAGTTGGTTGCACAAACCAACTCCGTCCGTCACACAGTGCACCGCAAAGGCTTCAAAGCAGTGGCAATCACTTGGATTCATCTCATTGGCGCAAAATAGCATCTATTCAACTTATCAAAACATGATTTAAAGGGAGGGGAAATTAAAGAAGCGGAAAGAGGAAAATATCATACAAGAACATGTTTTCCAAGCTAAATAGGAAGCTTCTAGGGAAAAAAGCAGAGAGAGAGAGAGAGAGAGAGCTTGAAAACATCTACCCATTCGCTAATAAAAATAGAGGCTAGCTTCACAGCTTAAGATCGCTTTACGTAACAAGCAACCTCCCAGCCAATATATTTTCAAACAAACAAATCTAATGTGAATAACATAACCTTCTCATATGCTAATTTGTGAGAAGCCTTGTGCTACTGGGGGAAGACAAATAAAAAATTGCCGTTCACTGGTTGAACCAAGATCATATATAGTCAAGAATAACAATGATTTCTGCAGATTATCAACAACCTTAATTTTCTTAATTTATCAAACATCTATTTGAGTTCAAACACAATAGCTTGAGTCCATAAATATGATTCTGAATTTCTGCATTATCTTATATCCTCAGAACCTTAAGCTCCATATCTCTTTAGTACCGACTTCTACATATTTTCAGACTGAAAAAATTATAAACCATAACAAACAATGAACCCAATGTGATTACATTGATCCAATAAATTAAAGACCATAAAATCAACACTAAAGAATATTTTTTGATCATGTAAGCAATTGTGACAGAATAACACATGACTTACCTCATCATCACCATCTTCCTCATCCTCTTCATCAGGCTCCTCCTGCAACATTAAAGCATCAAATCCAATAAAAAACATGAGAAAACAGAGAATCTCAGAGAAAGAGAGAGAGAGAGAGAGAAATTCTTAAGCATCACCTAAAAGAACAATTGACATTAACAGGAGGAAAATATACAAAATTTAAAAGAAAACTCACATTATTAAAATAAGTAAGCGGATTTGGCCACAAGTCGTCCTTAATTAATTCTGCAATCTGCAATTTAGAATGAAACATCACATCATCAGGAACAATGAGAGATAGAAATAAAAACAAGCTAAAGGAAACATCAGTAACAGAGACACAGGATATCCACAGATCGGATGTTCAACTCCACGAGGAATTATAGAAGACCAGGATAATTTTACCTCATCATGCAGGTCATCCATATCATCTTTCTGCTCAACATCACTGAACCAGCTAAAGAAACTGCACTCAAAAGATTTGCAGAGAGTTAGGCGCACTTAAAAAATGGTAACCATATGTTGCATAAATTAAAGAGGGAAAAACCCTTCAGCTGTCTCGGATTCACATATCAAGCATGTGCAAAATTCTATATCTTCCCTCATTTATGTTCAGTAACAACTAACAACCAATAAGTGTTAAAAAAAGAGCCTAAAAACAGGTAAACAATAAATAAAAGATCAAGTTCGCAATATATAGGAACCATTAACTGCCATCTTTTCTTTTTTGTTCTTTTAACCAGATCAGAGTACATAAGGAAACAATATTCAGAAAGAAAATAAACATGACACAAAACCTGTCATCAGCTGGAGGTCGCTTGTTCCCTTTCTTCTCATGGACTCCATTAGGTATACCCTTCAATTATTTCCCCATATATATACTATGTTAAAACAAACACCACAAATAGCTCAGAAGCTACAGGAAGAAAAACCAAAGAAGCTCAAAGCCTCACCTTGCCCTCTTTCCATTTTATAGGCGTGGCAGTGATCTTTGTAGTTCCTTCTTCAAGGAAGGTATAAGTCTTTGTAAGTTTTGTATCCTCAAAATATGGATTGGATTGAAATTCTGAAAAAGAAATATTAAAAAACAATTTACAACTCAATGAAATATACAATTTAGGAGCGTTCAAGCAAAGATGAGTTTCCGTAGTCAACAAGTGATTTGTCATTATTTTAATGAACAATCAACAAAATGAAAGGAAAAATCAAGGGAGGTGCAACTTACAAAGGTAATTGAATAGCCCGATTTGACGTCCTTAAAATCCTCAACCTCCAAAGAACTCAAATACTTAAATATCTACTAAATAAGAATTCAATAAGTTACTAGCCACGGCTCCATAATCAAACAAACAACAATATAAGCACTACCTCCATTGAACCTCTCACATTCGCATAAACAGCAGAGACATTTACGAAAGTAAACAAGAGAATGCATGTTAAAGTGAGGGGAAATAGTGGTTTGCAAAATCCAAATTTTAGAGATGGTCAGACCTTTTGATCTTCTTCATTCAGAATCTCACCAAGGGCAGGATGACTCATAAACTGCCAAAAGGAGAACGGTTTAACAAAACATTCCTAAATTAACCGCATCAATAAAACTCCATTGCCACAGTCATTTAATAGACATAGAAATCAATACTGACAGCTGTTGTCCAGAAGTCAGGAATAGTTCTGATAATCTCATTCCGCTTCTCATAGATAGGCTTCCTTATCTCATTGTACTTCTGCTCTATTTCGAGAACTTTATCACTTGCCTCCTCATTGATCTACAATGACCGGAAAAAGGAAAAAGAATGAATTTTCACCACAGAATAGACGAGGTCGATATAGCTCACAAGCATTATTATTAAAGAACAAACCATGGCTGGACCTTCATAATAGCGCATTCTAAAACATGAATAACCTTTACATTTATAAAATTCTGGGACCCCAAAACAGAAGCAGATAACCAACCGCAAGGTTATATTATCATCACTACTTCATCTCAAACCTGAGGTAACAATTCAGAAACAGCTACAGGATTTGGAATGAAAGTTCAGAACTTCAATTTCGCAGTGAAACATACAAGGGGACCAATTATGACACACGAGCGTCTGCTAATGGCCATGATACCTTTTCGAGCTCGTCTTGGGTCTCCTGCAGCTTCTCAATAGAGAGGACAAGCTCTCCGTCAATTTCCTCTAAGTTCTCGCCCTTCTCGGCAACTTTCAACTTCTTGGTCTTGTCGGCCACCATCTTCGCCCTCTTCCTCTTTTGCTCTCTCTCTCTCTCTTTATCGTAAACACAGGGCACTCACTAACTACCTCTCTGATTGCCTAAAACCCTAGCAGTATATATCGTTCAAAGTACAAAGGGAAGAGCGGGGAAGTGAGAGACAGAGAACGAAGGCGTTAGGGTTTTGGGGGGTTTATATTTCGGCTATAACCAGAAAGTGCTGCTTCAAACTGTGGATCAACCACTTCGTGACATCTGTCCTTACAGGTCCATTCGTCATTGTACGAATGATGAATCAGGAGAAAATGTCAAGATGATATTAATTTATTTAAAGTTAATGAATTTAAATTGATTTTTTCTTTTTTTATTTTGTTAAATTTTTAATATTTTTTATGCTTATCTTTTCAAAATTTCTAGTATTCGTCTTTGCTTGTTTTTTTTATTTTGAATTATAAAGGTGTATTTAGAATAGTGGTGATAGAAGTAACTTTTTTTTCAATCTGATTTTTACAGAAGTCAGATAGTTTAATATGATTTATGTTTGGATTAAATTTTGTAAAAAAATCAATTTGAAAAATTGAAACTTGTTTGGATAATAAACGTAAAAGTAAATTTAGATGTAAAATGACTTAAAAGGACATAAATTTTATTAAATAGTACATATTTAATATTAGATATATATAATATGACTATTTTTTAAGAAATAAGAAAAATAAAATTACTAAAAGTAAAGAAATTTAATTTATTATTAGAAAGAGATTATAATATAATGTGATCATTTTTAAAGAAGTAATGAAAATAAAATTATTAAAAATAAGGAAATTTAATTTAGTTGCTTCTTTGGCCTTGCCTCCTCGCACTCAAGACATTTGATATTTCTCACAAAATTCATAAAGTTACACCCGTAATACATTAGAAAAAGAGTCCACCAACTTCAGTGTGTTAATATTTTAATACTTGCTGAAGGCAAGATGTTGGGCTATGGGGGTGTTTGGCAACTTCCAAACCATAGTTTCAGAAGTACTTTTCGGCAAAATGAGGCAAATTCCTTTACATATTTACTTCATAAACCGTAAAAGCACTTTTAAAACCATAGTTTGGTTTCTATCCAAACACCTCCTACATGTGCCGCACAAAATCAATAAATTAACACCCAAATCCTCTATCGGTATTCTGCAACGCACACCCTCACCGGAAAGTAGCTTCTTTCAACTTATGGCAGAAGTGCATTTCGGTGGCAGAAGTCAGATTGCGTGAGCATGAGACCAAACACCCATTTTCAGCTTGCCTGTTGCTTCTTCGGTGGGGACGCACGTTTGAAGGTCCAAACATGATCCCAAACAGGCCATAAGTGTATTGTGTTCCAAAGGTAAGGTCATCTAATAAAATTTGTTGAGAGGGCTTATTTGCTACTCCTCTTGTCCTTAATATAAAACCTAATTAATAGGTTAATCTTGATCTTAAATAGAGGACTTATTTCTCATATTTATCAATTATTTCTTAAATTTTCTTTATTAAATAATTAAATACCACAATCATACTTATTATTTATTAATAGTAAACCTATATATTTTATAAAGTGAGTGAGCACTTATTACTCATTAATTCCACACATACATCAATTTTACTGTTTTATATTTTTAATAAAATAATTTAAAATATTTTTTGAAATGTCACTTTTTCAACGAAGTTTTTAATTAAGGGTATTTTGGGAAATATATATTATATTTATGATTATTACCTAACTTAACTAACTTCTTTAATTTAATCAAAATAGTTAAATAGGCCTTATATTAAGGACTAAAGAAGTATTAGAATGTTTCGATGGTTCATGTTTGTTTTTATTCTACAAAATACTCCTCTGGTCCTTATTATAAGACCCAATTTAACTTTTTATTTGGTCCTAATTATAAGACCCAATCCATTTTGTCTCTTATATTTATGCATTTTTTCCAAGATAATCCTTCTAATAATGATAGTTTTAGCCAATATACTTAATTAGCAAGGATATTTTAGGAATGATAACACTTATTTATTATAAATAACCAATTTAACTTACTTCCTTAATCTCCTCAAATAAGTCAATTGGGTCTTATAATTAGGACCGGAGGAGTATAACATTTAGAATTTTAAAAAAATGCAGTGTCCTAGCTTGAAGCATAAAATATTGGGCATTTAGCATCGAATTAGTCAAATTTTCGTCTTTAACTTTTATGAACACCCGTATTTAAGTTTCGGTAGAACTGTATTTTTATTTTTTACCCCCTAATTTCGCACAAAGTTCTGGTTTTAATTCTGTCTATTAATTTGGAGTTTTTTTTAAGGGGGTTTTGGGTTTTTTAAAAAATAGATTTTGTGAATAGATTTTGAGAATATATTTTAAAAGACTAGATTTTGTAAAAAAATGATCTTGATAAAGTGAAAATATTTGAGTGGTGGTTATAATAATAATTTTTTATATATAAATTATTAAAAAAGACATAAAGTAATATGATAATTATAGAAAAATATATTTTAATTTATATTTTTGTTTGAAATAATAAATTGTACATAAAAAATATAATTAATTAATATTACCTTTCGCCCTTAATATAAAAGCTAACTAGATATTCAATTTGATTCTAAATATAAGATTCCAATCTACTTTATCTCTCATATTTATCTATTTTTTATATCACAAACCATGGTTTTATACCTTCAAAGGCAAAAAAATTTCTCTTTATGAAAAATCATGGTTTTAGACCCCAAAATCATGATTTTCAATTCAAAAGTGATTTTGCCAAAAATCATGACGTTTAGCTACATTTTTTCAAATCATGGTCTTTGATCAAAAAGTGATTTTATAAAAAATTGACATATTTGGATAATTGGATCCCCAAACTATAGTTTTACCTTTCAAACTTAAGTTCCCAAACAGCCAAACTTAACACCATCTCTCAACTTCATTAAAAATTTATAATACTTCAGTCTGTTTTATTTTCAGAACTTCATGTTCTTAACCATAATTAATTTCAACTCAAAAATTTCAATAAAAAATCTGGCCCCTTTTTTTTTTAATTTCAGAACTTTATGTTCTTAACCATAATTAATATTCTTAGACGATCACCAAATGTTTTTTTTTTTGAAAAAATATAATGTATTGTTTTAATAAACAAAAGTAAGGTGAATTCGATAACCAAACTTGGTCATGCCTATCATAGTGGCCAGTGGGAAAATTCAAAATCTAGACATCAGCCTCATTGACCTAAGATTAAAAATCTAAACATCACCTTGAAGATCTGTACAGGTTTTTTTTTTTTTTTTGGAGAGAAGTATGCAGAAGCAATATCCTAATGAGAAAATCTGCTGGCTATGATTGTGATCTATGAACCCTAAAGAATAAGGATGCCTATCAATTCTATTTAACAAAGATGCACCTATGCCCTTTCATGATATACATACACTGGGCAATGGGGGAAATTCATAGAGATCTTGATGAGTTCGCTGCATGACAAACCTTCTATTTTCCTTCCTTCCAAGGTATCATCATGAGCTTGGGTCGTTGTCACCTGAAACCCAGTACTTCTTGACAGCAAACAAAACTTTCTCTGAAACAAGAGGACCATCCTCATGATCCTCCATTTTGGTATTCCATCTCATTCTCTTTGCAACTCTATTCACCTGCATTAGGAGCCCCACTTGATCTCGGATTATTACTGCCCCTTCAGGCCGCAATATACGGTCCATCTCCAACAGTATGTCTTCTGCACTACACCTGCATTGATCATCTGAGTCAGGGAAAAGACTGTAATTTCCCACGCCGGTCTCAAAATTTGTTGCGTCTATTACATTGTCTATATATGTCTCTGTTTATAAAATTTAAATCAGTCTTTCTATGGGAAAACAAATCTTCTGAAAAAGGTAAAGATTCCAAAGGGAACGAGACTAAAAAGAAAAGAAGAAAAACAACAACATACTTATCCTTGTACAAGCTGAAAACACCATCCGCATGGATAAGATCATATGTCCTTGGATATGTGGAGAATGCTTCACACCTGACACAGATACACAAGTTTTTAGATAGAATAAAAGCTCTTTCTGACCTCTAAATATGAGAAGGCAACTGTATTTGATTAACCAACACAATTCAAAAATGTCATACAGTTTGCTAGTCATGGTCAAACAGAAAAGACAAGGCAACTCGTCCTCCATATAGCATTGTATTTGACTTTACAACAATAAGACAAGTTACATTTGCAGAGGAGAAAATCAAGAGAAAAACATGTCACAGTCACAGAAATTACCAGTCATGATAAATGCCGATCAATCCACGCTCGAATATAACACCTAGGGTATCTTTCTCAGCAATTGTAGGCAAAACATTCATAACCCATAATTTGGGAGATTCCAAGGCAGCAGCAAAGCTTCCTAGACCAGCATTCATGTCCATGATGTTGTGATACCTGCCCGAGTCGATAATTTTGTTAGTTCGCTTATAAGCACTCACGTGCTTCTTCCATGACCGATTGTCATCCTCATATGCCTCCACAGATATGCCCGGGATGGATCCGCCAGATATTCTGAAAGGAACTTCGTTGAGTCTCTTTGGGTATGGATTCCATGAGTTATTAGCTCCATGAGAAGGAGTTACACAATTTTTCATCTCCTTGTACCTAGACAGAAGCGAAACTTTCAGGGAGGTGTTGAAAAAACTGAATTCCAAAAGATGGGGATTATACTAGAACTTTATTACATCATGAAGGACCAAATATCCCTGGTCACCAGGAAAACTTCCCAGATCAATACTTGCTGTCTCAAAAGATACCATCTACGTGGCAATAATGTTAAATTTAATGTGGCAGAAAAAATGAACTCCAAATTTCATTTTACTTTCTAGAACTGGTGAGAGACATCTAAAAAGAGGGAAAGTATTAAATTTTTAACAGGTTCTGTGCTTCACTGTTAATAAGCAGCAAGAAATGTAGGGAAATTTAAGCTGACCGTGAAAATTTGGAAGGCCAATACTTCCTAGATGCATAACATCAAATTCGGTGCAAAAGTGACAGGTAATTGATGAACTATGAGTTGAAAGAAATGAGCAAGGGCCGAAAAAGAGAAGTACTCTTCTGTCTTAAATATAAGACCATTTTGTAGTGTAAATTACATTACAAAATGAGTCCTATATTTAGGACCGAATAAGTAAAAGATTTTACCAGACATCATTTGCATTTGTAAATTCACATCTTGTAGGTGGAGTATCTTGTTCAGGGCATTCATCATTGTTTAATCTTTTTCTCCAGATGGCAATTTCACCTTTTTCATGTTTCTTTTCCCAGCATAGAAGTTTAGCAATATCTTCAATCTTCCTTTGCTCCTCCTCAAGTTCCCCTTCAGGACGTTGCCAAGTTTGGTAGTTATTCCTCCAGTTAATAGGAGGACCAGAAAGTATCCAGTAACCACCAGGTCTAAGAACTCGGTCCACTTCCATCATGTACATTCCACCTGTGGAAAGAAATCCGAAAATTGAAGGTTAGGAAAATCATGTGATTCTTTGTCAAGGCAACAATGGACAGTCAACTAAAACAAGAAAAATGATGCATCTTTTTAAAACATCAGTATGTTCAAATAAGAACGTGCTTTGTTAATCATTACAACTTGGCAGACCATAGATTTTTTAACAAAAAAAAAAAGTGTAAGAAGATACACTGTCACAAGTGGTAAACAATACAACTCATTTTGGACGCTGTACAAATGCATGGGATCCACTTTAGCTCAAATTACTGGGGCTTTTCATGGCCACTTTGAACAAATTGAAGACAGGAAAATTAGAATCAGAGCAAGCCCCCAGTTCGATCAGGCAAGTCATTATTATACGCATATTGTCAAATTTTGTTCACTTTTCTGTCATAAAAGCCCCCGTGGCTCATGGAATTGATTCTATTGAGCCAAATGAAAGATTGTATAGTGAAAAGGCAGAAACATCACCATTTGAACCCCATGGAATTAAACAGCGAGAACAATGAGCCATGTCAAAAGATCCAGCAGGGAAAGGCAGCTTGATGGTTCCAAGAACACCAATAATTGCCGGAACACCTCTTTCCAAAGCAAATTGGACTTGTGCTTCATGAGAATCCCTTGGTGCAATTGACATTGTAATAACCTTTTTCTTTAACAGGTATGCACCCCAACTAGCAACCTAAGCACCATCAATGAGTGAAAGATAAGATACAGCATAGATAAATCAAAGCTAGAACCACAGAAATAGGATTAAAAATGAGATAATGATGTTTGTGCATGATTTGACTCACCCCACAGCCAGTATCTAATGCAGTTCTGACCATCCCATTGTCCAATGGGATAACAGATGCAAGTTCGTCAATATAAGCATCAGCTCCTTGGGGAAATTGTGTTCCTCCACCAGGGAACCTGAAAACATTCCCTTCATACTGAATCCAATTCTGTACAGCCTTTTCTACAGTCAGGCTCTTATAAGGCACATTAGCATATGGTACATAATCCCGGCTCAGGGGCCATGGAAATGGTGTTACATAACCTTTAGGTGCAGGTATGAGACAATGCAGCTTTTCTTCTTCAGAAGGACAGTGCCTTTCTCTGTAAACCATATTCTTTCTGGGGAATGTCATTGCTCGCATTTGATCATGGCAGGGAGTGTAATCCATGTAGTGATCTTCGCATGGCTTGAACTTCTTTACTTTTAATTCAGAATTATCAGGTGTTCCATCAAAATCGTGGTGGGTGTCATAATTTAAGTTAGAGAGGATACTGCAATCTGTCTGCTTAGTGATCTCCAAAGCTATGCTATCTCCCTTCCCAAAACCACTCCGTTGCCATGCACCTAATATATAGAAGAAACCACACAAGCCAACTATGAAGAAAACTGATCTTGAAATCCTCTTTCTATTGCCTCCTGGTTTTACTTTTGTTGCCATGATGGAACTTTATTTTCCTCCAAACTATACAGAGATGCTGCAAATTTGACGCAGAATATATTAGTGCATAAATGTCTAGTGTTTACTGCATTCCGAAGTTGGTATGATGATCCTGTGTGAACACAATTATGTTACTTTAAAACAGGCAAAAAGGAAATAGAAGTGATCAGAGGATCGCCCTTGACAAAACAATCTGCATAAATCCTAGTTTCAAACATCAACCACACGCAAGCAAAACAATCAAGCGTTGCTGGGTAAGTACATGTTTCTAGTGAATATTTGAAGGAAAAGACACTCAATCCCTAAACAAATCGTTATGGCGTGTTCGTCTGACTAAACCGACTTGCCAGAGTCAACTCAAGTGCACGAAACTAATAATTAGGAACAACTACAGCACAAAACTTGATCACAATCTCTTCTGATTTCCCTTGCTGCATCTCGTTAATGTTAAAAACCTACAAACAAACAACACAGAAATTCCAGTAAGACCATAAGAAGGTCGGGTAGAAGTTTTGGGGTTTGATCAGATAAACAATTTCGATGATTAAATCCACCATCTCTCTAAACATTCCAGAAGAAAACAAGACCGGGCAAAGGTGAACGAACAACTTTTAGCAGTCCCGATCATTAGAATGGTCAATATATATAAATGAGAAAAGAAGAATTCTTACTGATCTCAGACCAATCAGCGAGCGTGTTAGATCAGAATCGAAGACGCATCTTCAGAGACTAAGAAGGATCTGCAGCATATGGGGCCTCTATAGTCGGTGGCTCTATAACCAAATGCTGATCCCGCACTTCGCATCGGCGGGAGGGTCCGCACGTTATGAAATGGAAAAGACGGCGTCCAAAACAGACCAACGAATTTTCAAATTTAAATTTTTACACATTATGAATAGAAACTAATAGGTGGCCCGAAATGTGAAATGAGAAACGGGTGGGAACTGGGAATTGGGAAACAAATCGATGATAGCTTAGAGTGACAACTCACAAAACTAATGAAACTCGAAAGAAGAAAACAACTCACAAGAGCAAATCTTGCAGGGCAAAGGGGCTTCGGGGGAAAAATGATACGAAAAACACGATTAAAAAACAGAAGGATGAAAAAAGAACGAAATTGAACGCCAAAAAACCCAAGGAAAAAGAAAGAACTGGCCGCACTGGGTCAATTTGGACTCAAACTGATTATATTAAAATAAAATAATTTAACTAAAAATAACAAAACACAATAACATTAATAATCACTAATAACAAAATGTAAGAAAACATATTGATTATAAAAATAATAAAATACAATAATATTAAAAAAATTTGATCTTTACAAGTCATTAATAACTAAAATTAATAATCATTGATACCAAAATTATCACTAAAATTGAAATCTATAGTGACTGAGATATTTGGAGTTGAATGAGAAAAAATAGGACCAATAGCAGCATAAGTATTCAAAGCGGTCCTTAACTGTTTTCACATATTCACACCGATTTGACCGGTTTGATGCCTAAACCGCATCGGACCACTGGTCGGTTCATCAGTTTTTTGGTTAAGTTTGATTTTTTGTTCTATGTCAAAAACAAATTCCTAAACAAAACTCATGAATCTAGTATTGATATTGATTTCAGTTTTCCTTTTGTCAAAAAATTGTAAGTTTAACCAAAAAAAAATAAAAATTAGGGCTAATATAATTTTGAGTCCATTAAATTTGTTCTCGTTATGGTTTTAGTCTCTTAAATTTCAAATCATAGGTTTTAGTCCCTCTAGGGGCAAAATGGTCCATATTTTTATTAAATTATAAGGACCAATATTTTAAATGAAAAGAAATTTGAGGGATCAAAACTTATGATTTGAAATTTAAAGGACTAAAACCAAAATAAAAATAAACCTGATGGACTCAAAATTATATTAACCCTAAAAATTATTAAGTTACTGCTTCTTCCCGTTTTATGGTTGAATACTTGGCTTGCTAGCTGTGAATAGATTTGGGGCCAATAAGTAATAACTCCATCTTGGAGACTGATTGTAAAAAATTATACTACCTCGTGTTGATTAATTTTAGTAGACTAAGAAAGTTTTTTAAGTTAGTTATTTGTAATAAATAATATTATCTTCTTAAAATATCTTTATTAATCATATGTATTAGTTAGAATTATCAATTAATAAAATATTTAACATGTATAACTATTATAACGACTACATTGAAAAAAATAATACATAAAAGAAAAAAGTAGATTTAGTTTTATATTTAGAATCATATTAAATTCGAACTACTTTTTATGTTAACAACTATACTAGACAGCATAACTCGATACCAGGTGTAACAGAGCGGTGAATTACTTAAGAGCTTTGAGTGCTTGTATCTTGCGGGATGGTTTGTTCCAAGTATCATCTTCTCTAGCTGATACTTTGTTCGGTATGCACCAACACCAAGCATGATTGGCCCTGAACATAATCTGGATGGCAATATCCAAGAGAGGACGCTTTTGTGTGTTAGTCTATGCTTGAAGCCCCTTTTTGTTGGGTGTTCTTTTAGCTGCGTTCCTCAACATATAAATACTATTTGTAACTGCTTTTTGTTTAGTATTAATAAAATTGACTGTTTTGGCAGAAAAGAAAACTACTTTACAGTCTTCACTCTTCATGGTGCCCGAAGCCCCCAAAAAATGGCCTCCATTTATTTTCAAGAAAACTAACTATTTAGTGCTTTTTATTCGGAGAAAAATAAGCTAAATTTTCTTTTGGAAAAAAAAAATGGCTTGTGCTATGTTAGCTAAAAATTGACATTTCAGAGTCTAAAAATTAATTTTCACTACATTTTAACAGTTTTAACGAGCTTTTATTCTTGGCTGACATTTTTCAAGTTTATTATTATTCTTGTTATTGTTAACTTCTTCTTGTTGTTGTCATTAGTATTATACTATTATTATAACAACCAAGCATGGCATAGTTGGTAAAAGATTCAGGATAACTTTGTGATTTTGTTATAAATTGTGTTACGCGTACTTAATATCCCACGCAGTATTAGATTCACAATATACACGATTGTGAATCTAATGCTATATAATATTAAAAGAGGCTGTCAGGAAATAATCAATACTCCTCCGGTTCTTAATATAACCCAATTGTTGAGTTAATTTTGGTCCTATATGTGATAATCTCTCCTATACTTATTATAAGTTATAACCACCTAATAATCACTTCACACAAGTTAATAAAGTTAAAAATTAGTTATTTCTTGTAAAATATCCAAATTATCGTGAATAAAAGCCATTAATTAAAAAAGTTTAATTAGTTAAGTTTTTTATAATTAGTTTTCAATAATACACGAATAATTAATTTTATAATTAGTTTGCAATAATACCCGAAAAAATTAATATTTCAGACAAAATATATTATATTATAAAATATGATGGAAATTCTTTTAATAAGGACACCGAGTAATAATCAACATCAATATATTATCTATTTCAATGTAAAATACTTCACCTACTAACACCTTTACTACTCGCAAGTCATCCACGTGTTACATGTAATCATTTTTGTTTTATCGTTCTTTTTTTTTTTTATATACATTTTATTGGAATCTAGCGTAATTTTATTTTTACTCATTCTATATTTATTCACATGTTTAAATATAGATAATACAATATTTGAAAATCATCTTAGGCGTTATCTCTCATGCCCGCGTATCAGAAAAAATATCAAGTTCATACTAATTTCTGCAATTTGGCAAGTGCATATGGGGAAAAAGAAAGAGGTTGAAAATGTCAATTTCATTTGCTTCTTTGGAAAAACAAGAGCATATTTTCAATTTTCAGACGCAAAGGTAGTGCCAGAGAATTAGATCCCAAAAAGCTGAATGCTATGCTATACTACACTCATGATCCAGTGAACACTAACCATCATCTCCAGCGCACAGTCCACCATTCACTGAAGGAACCTGTCAAGAGTTGCCATTTGAATCTGCTGCCAATTTGCTTTCCATCATAAAATACTTCAAGTCATTGCTATCATGCTGCACCCTCCCTGTGATCTCCAGGCATAGACCCTTGCTCAACCCTTTCTTTGGTTGTCTGTCTTTGCCAGACTTGTTACCTAAGCCCGGGTCCATAAATATTGGTTGAATCTTAAGATTTGGGTTTGGCTTGATCCGGTTCACTTCCCTTTCATCCAGCGGACGCAGTATTCTATTTTCAGACTGTAATCCTGAAGCTTCATCCTCATTCAGAAGAACCTGCAAGATGGATGACGGAGTCCAAATAAAGATATGGACAGATACAAGACGAGGTTTGCTTGTAAATTACCATGCAAAGGCAGATATATATAAGCAACGTCAATGGGAGAGGTAAAATATCACATGAATCCAATACTTCCACAAATAAAAGTTCGCACGCAGCTAATCACAGGAAGCATCTAAACTAAGAAGCCTTACGCTTTTCACTGTCAACTATTCAACCATCAAATAAAAAACACAAAAATGTAAACCAGTAAAACAAACAAGAAAGATAACTTCAGATATATCTATAGAATCATGGAATGAAAGATGCGCTTGTTTCGATTCCTGCTCATAAGATAATTCAAGCAGCATACAATTCAAGCAGTAACTTTGATAATATTACTAAGAAATAAACCTTGCGGCCAACTAGATCAAAAGTCACAACAACTTTACTGCGTTTGGCTCGCTCTGCATCCTCCATCTCCTCTTGTTTCTTCTTCAAAAGTTCTTTTTCCTGAGAAAAAATGGAAAAAAAAAATTCAGCCACTGACTAAGTGGTATACTGATGGAGGACAATTACAAGATGTGAACAAAATATACCTCCTTCGATAGCCAACTGTTTCCATCAATCTCATAATAGTCACTTTGGTCATCATAAACTGTTGTTCGAGCTGCAGAGTTTCGGTCATAATCAACAAGCCTCTTTGCAAAAGCTTCAGCAGCAGCTTCTGCTTCTGACAAGGGAGGCAAACCTTCTTCCAGACCAGCATATGTGCTCCCCTCTTTCAACACAAGGGAACCACAGAAATGGCAAGGTCCCTCTCCTTCCTGTTCACAAACTATCTTGCCACAAGATAAACAATTGCTGACTAGTCTGTGTCGTCGTGCTTGGCATGAGCATGGTCTTCCCTGCTGAAATACAATTGACCCTTTTGCAGCCTCAGCAAGTGAAATAGCTTTCCCGGCTTTCTTCTTTTTAGAATTCACTTGATTTCCCTTATTTGATGTTTTTGATTCACTTCGTAGACTTGGAATCTGATTTTCCTGATTTTTGGCAACCAAATCTTGCTTGGGTTCCACCTGATGGCTGGAGACTGCCACTGCTTTTGGTGTTCTCAATGATTTTTTAGTTCCACTGGCAGATGCTTCAACTGAAGGCGGTTTGACATAGGTATGTAACTTAGAGGTAGGAGCATTCGAGGTAGGAACATCTGACTTGTTGCTGAATTCTGACTGAGCTCTCCGTCGCAAGTATTCTTCAATCACGGTTTTGCCTGCTTCTTGGCCGATTATATTCTGCAAAGATAAAAAAGGATTGGACCATTTAGGCCTGCATTTTCTTGTCTACAGCCAACTAACAACTGCATTTATCTGATTAAGGGAGAATGCCGGGCCCCCTACAAAAATTTATCTAAACATAGTGCTTTAATATGAACGTAATAGTTAAATATTAAAAGTTAAGGTCTGCACAAAATCCATTCAAATGTTAAATTGCAAGGGCAAGTTCATTGACAGTATGGTTATACTCTTAAGTTGAACAAGGATAGAGATGCTCATGTTTAGATCAGATGCACAGCGCAAGGTGCCTTGCATCAGTGCAACCAGGGTTCGCCCACCGGGCAATATATAAATGAAAAGGCGCAAGCTAATATTTGCCTACAAAGACAAAAATCCCACTTGAAATGACAGAACACCTAGTCGTCAGTCAGTTATGGAAGAACAGGTCCCGACGGAAAAATCCCCACCATTATTAACCGATTCCATGACTCCCAGAATTCCTTGTTCAATTACAAAAAAAAAAGAAAAGAATCATAAGTAGATATTCAGAAACTGTTTTTTCCTCTTAAAATCTACTTCCTTCCCCATTCAGCTGGATTTCAATTGCCGGGGTAAAGTTATCAGTTTGGAGTTTATTCATCGCTGTAGGACCCAAATACTGTAAGATAGTCACAGAAATACTTAATGAACTCAATTCCATAGAATCGCATTCACAAGGATTTCAGCAATGGATCATACATTGTTTAACCATAGAATACCCAGTAATGAGAAACAAAGAATTAAATCAATATAATCAAATTGCGCTGAACAAAAAATTAAAGAGGAAACTAAACCATCGATCAGTAGAATATGGGAAAGGAACAGAGGGAGAGGGATTACATCAAGGTACTCTTTGGCATCACGAGGATCAGCAAGGTCGCAGTAAGAAACAAGGCCTGAAATTATATCTTTATCGAGGCCTAACCCCAAACCAGTTTCAATCTTCTGACACAGATCAAACAGGGCCTTCTCCAACCACTCTCCCGGCGATTCCATCTCCCCAAACTTCCAAAACGGCTCAGGCTATCCAGATCGAAACCTCTCGGGTTCCTAATTCGCCGCCAGATCTTCCCAGGTGGGTCCCGTGGACTTGCGAATGGCCTGCAAGAGAACTCGTTAACTTTCTAACAAAAAAAAAATAATTCTTTTAATTTTTGTACTAAAATTCAAGATCAAAATTGAAAGTTTAAACAAATATTAATCATATCATATAAAAATTAATTTTTTTTTAAATTTCTATATTTCAAACATTTATGTGAATTCAAATATTTTTAGTTCTAATTTTAGAGAATTACAAATTTGTATAAATAATTAAAAGATAGTGGCAATTTAGATTTAAGTATTAAGAAAAGGAAAAACTGGAAAAAGGTCTCGCATAAAAAATTTCATAGTGAGAAAGACTTAAATTTTTTGTTTTTGGAGCAAAACAATCAAGTTTTATTAATACCACAAAAAAGATACAAACACAAATAGCCACTTAAGGCCCAAAAAAGAAAAAACATTTAGGAACAAACTTGACAATACAACCTAACACACCAACTCACCAAAACAAAAGAAACAAGCCTAACAAACAGAAAGAAAGGAACAAACAGAACAAAACAGGCAAAGCAGTTAGCCTATACCTGTCCTCTTACCAACAACTAAGTCGAGTCAACTTGATCCATACCACAAACCCTCCAACACTCTGTCAAATCAGCATTCAACACAGCAACCAAAGGAGATGGTGGCATCAAAGGCCATCCCTCAGGAACCATACCCCTTATTGCCTCAACTGCAAGACAATTCATAGCCTTGCTACCTACCCTACTGATCCAAGAAACATTCCGGCTTTGTTTAGATGATAAGACATCCAAACACTTCTGCGCTATCTCAGAACAACACCACTCACTCCCACAGTAGTTTTTCCTCTTCGGAATGCCATGCAATTCCTAACAATCCATCTCGAAAACCACATTGTTCTAGTTTTTTTCCTCTGCTATATTCAAGGCTGAATAAAGAGATAAGCATTCAGTCATAAAAGGAGAGGAGGATTTCACCAGCTTGCCCGTACCACCTATGAACTGCGCGGGAAAGACCTAAATATGAGTAGTAAAATTCTGTGTACACAAAATTTGTAAAGTACTTATGCTTTTTATATATTGCCTTCGTCCTAAAATTGTATTACAAATTTGATATTATTATTTTTTTTCTTACCTTAGATGTTATATTCAGAACATGAGGTAATATAATAAGTTATCAAGTGTCTCAGCGAGTAAAATTTTTCAAGGACGACGTGCGTTTCATGGCTTTTTGCTGGGCTTACCATGCCCACCAGGCAGTGACGAGTGAGGAAACTGATTTGTGCATGAAGCTTATTTTACACAAACTAATCATTTTGAGAGATAGAAATCTTCCTTGCTCAAAGGTATAAGCTATTGAGAGGTACTATCTCTCGTGTTAAATATAAAATCATAATTTATTCTGTTTCTCAAATTTATAATATGTTCTAAAAAAATATCTCAATTAATTATAAAGTATTTCTACTTAAGTATAATTTCAATGTATATAATTGAATAATAGTAATTTAAGAAAGTTAACACACCTTTGTTATAAATAACCAACCTAACTAATTTTTTTTAATTTTCTCAAATTAGTTATTTAGTTCTTATATTATGTAGGAGGCAATAAATAACAGAATGCCCATTGATTCGGACAAGCTATTGCCGTGCTTAAAGTTGTATATTCAAATAAACTTACAAGAGAATCATTTTATCAGTAACATCGCAATGGTATGTGGCAGAGACAGAGCCTACAACCATAAAACGACAAGTCAGTCAACTAACTACTCCTGTTGAGCCAGCCCAAAAAAAAAAAAAGAATAACTTATCATCCCAGTTGCATAGTCCGGACCAGATGTCAGGGCAGATGTGTCTCCTCCATATATTTTAATCACTATATAATTTTCAAACACTCCAATACCCATCAAATTTCACTCTCCAAGTGTGAAAATATATTCCTCATCTTAGACCAAAGGATTCTTGCAGAGCACGTAATTGATTCTTCATGGTCAACTCCTTATCCTGAAAGCCATATGGCATTTGAAAACAGGGCAACGGCCAAGTCAACAACTTGGGAAGCAAGCTTGAAAAACTATTTGGAACCTATAAAAATTTTCCCGTTACAGGGAAATAATTGTTGCTAGAGAGCTATGGAGAACCAGAAGGTGATCCTGCATGGAATGTGGATTAGCCCTTATCTGAAGAGGGTAGAGTTGGCCTTAAAGCTGAAGAACATCCCTTTTGATTACGTTGAGGAAGATTTGAGCAACAAAAGTGAGTTGCTTCTCAGGTACAATCCGGTGTACAAGAAAGTTCCTGTCCTTGTCCACAATGGAAACCCCATTTGTGAGTCATACGTCATCCTTGAGTACATTGACGAGACCTGGAAACATGGCCCCAGATTGATGCCTGAGGATCCCTATAGAAGAGCTCAAGTACGCTTCTGGTCTAAGTTCATCCAGGATCAGGTAATTTTTCATCTTGGGTCATCCGTGTTTGAGAGTGTGTGTGTGTGTGTGTGTGTCAGAGTAGAGATTATTACTGCTTCAGAGCTTCCACAAATAAGCTTTGCTGTATCTTTGTTAACTGTTTGTAAGTGACTTTGTTGCCCCGGTAAGTTAGTGGAAAAGAAGGGTTACACTGAGCCAAACTCTAGGAAACACTTTTTGTCTGATTGCCGCATTTTGCTTTGGTCAAAATTGCCGTTGCAGTTATTTGGAGCATATGTCTCAGTAGTAAAAACCGAAGGAGAAGCGCAGCAGAAGGCCATGAAAGAGATGGAGGAGAAATTGGGGTTGCTGGAGAATGGGATGAAGAAGTATTTCCCAAGTGGCAAACCAGAAGTGAACGAGAACAACGCTGGAGTGCTTGACATCATGTTTTGCTCTCTGCTCGGACCCTACAAGTCACAGGAAGAGGCTCTGGGTGTGAAGTTGTTAGATGCAGACAAGTTTCCTGTGTTGTTCTCTTGGCTAATGGCTCTGGTTCAGCTCCAAGTGGTGAAAGAGGCAACCCCACCTCATGAAAAAGTGGTCCAGTTTCTTCAGTTCGTTCGCCACTCTGCTCTTCGTTCTACTACTTCAGCTTCATAATCGATCATGCCTTCAAATGGAGGCTTTCTTATGACCAGTTACTTGTAGTCTCTTGTCTCTGTATGTGTGCTCATATATGTCTGAATAAATGTATTTGCGTGTACGTGCTTGCTTCTTCAGAACAATTACAGGATATATGTGCCAATAAAATGCCAATACGCGAGTTTAATTTTATCGTATAATTTTGAAATTCTTATATTTTACCAGTTCTTTCTTCTTCTTTTTTTCGTTGCCAACTACTCCCTTCAGTCCTATTTATGAGTTTCAAATTAGAAGAGAGGTGTGATTTATTTTATAAATTTCAATTTAGTATTTGTCTTAATATTTAATGCACATTTTCTAATTTTACCCTTAATTATTCATTCTCTCTCTTTTGTCATAATCTATCTTATCATATTTTTTTCGCATATTTTTTTTCTTTTTTTCTTTACAAAAGCATATTTGGAAACAAAAATATATTTTTAACTTATTTATTACTTTTAACTAATTTTAACTAATTATTCGTTGTCTGTAAATTAATTATTTGAAACTTCTAATAAGAATCAAATGGAGTATATTTTACTAGTTCTTATACTCTTACGTCTTTCTCCCTTTTTTCTTAAAAAAATATAAATTAGATCACTAAAAACTCATTTGGTTCAAGAAAAATCTGGCCCAGAAAATGAAAAATCTAATGCCCCATTCGATAAGATGGAAGAGTTTTTGAGAAGTGGTATATAATTTTTAATTGAAATTTGTATTTACAATGTAAAAATACCAAAATATCCTCACCCCAAAAAATCACAGCCCCCATCGTCACCGGAGGTCACAACCATCATTGTTTCAGATCTATCAAAGACAAGAACCACCTTCGCCAGAAATATAGGAGCCAAAATCGAACGGCCATTGAATCACAAGAAACCAAAATCAAATCAGGAAAAAAAAAAAAAAGAGGCTTCCACTGCAACTCATCACAAACTAAAAACAAGGAATTGAACCTACACAAACAAGAAAGCAAACTCAATCTCATTTTTCAAAAAGAAAAACAAATAACTTACAATGGTTGGACTAGATCGGACTTCGAACTCGTGGTGGAAGCTAGATCGGACTTTGAACGAGCGACGGAAGGTAAATGACCATGGTATGCCTGTTGACGGCGATGACAACCATGGAAGGGGATGAAAGGCGACAAGCTCCAGTGTTTTACTTTGGGGTCGCAGCTGGAGGGGCTTGATGCTTGTCTTTGACCACAGCTCTGCCGTTGTCCATGGTTACCGACGCCACTGCAGTCATCCACATCTCTATCATCGTCATCGCACGTCACTGTTTATGGCAATTGAATGTCTCTTGTACCCAGGGCTATTTGGTCTTTTAATTTCCAGTTCCATGAAACTCGAGAGAGTTCCCTGGCTTAGGGCATGGAACCCACTTTCATCATTTTTGATGGAAGTGGCTTCCACAAGGAACTGAAATCCATCGCACCAAACATGCTTAAAATGACTTCCATCGCCAGTTCCACTTCCGTCTCCCCAGTTCAATCATACCAAACGAGGCATAAATTTTTCAACGGTGACGGTAGTTTGATTCAAAAAAGAGATGGGAAAGAAATGGAGCACTGATCCTGATTTTTTTTTTTTAAAGAGATGAAAATTGGTTCCCATCAAAAATCGTAGGAACAAATTTTCAGTCGCCCATCACTTTTGGAAAAGACAGAGGAAGTGTGGAAAAGTTTGGTGAGGACAGAGACTCTTCTGCAAATATGAGCTTTCAGGACAACGAGCACCATTTCTGAACTTCGCCCGAGGATTCTTAGTTATTTTGTATATCAAAAGCACATACAAATTCTCCAGCCTAATTCAATTTATAGCAGCACACAGCAAAGCTCAGATATAAGCAAAATGAGAGGTCAGGAAAAAAAAAAAAAAAGGCAAAATGAATGTATCCTTCTATTTATGCAAATACTGCTACATGAAGTATAACGCTTGCGACGTTAACCACAAATAAAGTCTTTTTTGACTGGGGCACAACCAGTTCCCTTCAATTGAATCTTAACGCTCAAGTATATATGATAACATAATGTGTTGTCATCAAACACGTGGCTTATCATCTTTCTGGGTTTCCTCCTTTGCTACATACTCAGACGCACGAGTCGTAGGTATTAGGGACCGCCTCAGACTATATCTCGAGCAGAGTAATCTCTTCTTCATTTTGTTAAATTTACATTTAGATTAGAAATATATATATATTGGTGATTACTAAAGAATAATTCTGAAGTCATTTTAGACTTAACATTGACACCTTTTCGAGGCTTGAAGAGCATTAAAAAGTTTTTACCTCTTTCAACAAGTGCTCTTTTCAATATTCTAATTTGCATTCTCCTCCTTACGGAAATGTGGTTGTCACTATCTCAACCAATAGCTTGTTGATAAATTAAAAGGGTGTTTGGATATCCTGAAAAGTGCTTTTCAGAAGTACTTTTCCGTAAATTGAGATAAATTCCTCTATATATTTACCTCGTAGACTGTAAAATCACTTCTGAAACCATAGTTTAGTTTCCATCCAAACATCCCCTAAGTCTTATTACTTCATTTTACTTTTTTTAAAAAAATAAATTAATGATACTGGTGCTAGTTTTGATAAATATTAATATTGTCATCGAGGTTAATAAAGGGGAAGGGGATGAATAGGAGGCAATAATAATTTAAGCATTATTGATGAAATTGTGAAACTACACCAAGAAAAAAACAAAAGAGAAATAGAAAGAGGCGCAAAATCTTATGCTTAATCAACTTGAAGCTTACACTGTTCGGAACTTTGGTACATAAAAAAAGAGTATAACAGAGTGCTCAAATATTGGCTCAGGTACATTGGAATTTTATACAAAAATTGAAGTATGCTTAAGCAATATGGAATATGCTTGAGCAGATTCAAATGTGATGCCAGAAAAATCAAATTTTTTTAAATAGATTCAAATTTAATACAAGAAAAATTGAATTCTGCATCAAATTTGAGTTTGCTTGCTCGTTTTTTGTCATATTAAATATTAGATTTCACCACATATAATTTTAAAAATAAAAATTTTTAAATGGTTCTTACTGCATTAAAAATTAGACTTAGCAAGCTTTTACACGATATGTTATTTCCTTAGTTTGTATTAAATTAAGAAAGATATGTTTTTCCCTTATCATATTACATCGTATGATTTAAAGACAAAATGGAAATTGCTTAAAATTTATTATATAAATTTTATCTACAACAAAAATGCTCAATTAATAAAAATATAAATAAGGAGTTGAAAAAAATTACAATTTCACAAAATCAAGATGTATAATCTTTATATAATATTACATTTTTCTTCATATTTAAAATTGAGTATTTCCTTTTCTTTAATATGTTTTATTTGCACTCTGTAATTTTTATATTTATATTAAATATTCATATTTATTTAATTTTTCAATAATAATATTATTTTGTAAGTTTAAAAAGCATTTTTTATTTATATCATTTTGTCTTCTTTTAAAACAAATTTTTATTTAATAATATTATATTCTTTTATTAAGGGTAATAGAGTAAAATAGCTCAATTTTCCCATCTCTTCTCATCCAACGAAACACACAGTTTTTATTAAATTCATTTTTAATTCTAGTGTGAACCAATTACTCATTTGACCGAAAATTTTTTATTCTCCTTTTAATTTTTTTAATTTTTATTTCAATCAAGGCTTTAAACCAAACTGGCATAAATCAAATACAATGCACTTTCAATCTACACTTCTAAAATTTGTAATGCCCTCTTCTAAAATTTGTATGAAGATGGCGTGGGATCAGTTACTGCATAAAGGAATGCTTCGGAATTGTAGCATGATGTTTGTCCAAATCAAGGACGGACTTCTTCTACCATGGGAACTAAAGCTGATCTATGCACCTCGATCCTGTAATGGTGTGGCGGATACTCTAGCTAAGCGAGGAATTGCAAATTCTGTTCTTTACGAGGTTTGTCCTGCTTTCATTAAGGACACTGTGCAGAGAGTATGGGATTAAGTCCCCCGTTTATTTAATTTCTTGTAATTGGGCTTTGCCCTCTTTTGTACAAAAAAAAAACATTGTAATGCCTGACAAAGTTAAAATGATTCGGGCACATTATTCAAGTAAAATTAAATCCTAATGCGTTCAATAGAAGTAGCATATACTCGGCACTTACGTAAGTTCTCTTCTTCTTTTTTTTTTTTTTTTCCGCCCACGACATGTGTAGGTTTGTCTATGACCTGTTAGGTTCGATTATAAGAATGAGAATTATATGTAATCATCATGCAAAAATTTGATTCAATTATTTGGTTAGATTTTGTAACGTAAAGAGGATTATATCTTGGCATTTTGATTCCCTTAAAAACCTGCATTCGGATTACATAAGTAGACCTATAGATGAGAATTACATGATGAAAAAAATACATTATTACCCTTTAAAAAATCAGACATGACCGGACCTTTCTTCTCCATCTATTTTGCCACCATCCTACACCTCCGTGCATGCTGTAGCTTCAACTATAGTGGGAGCATCTGTGCTCCACCCATTCACCGCTCACCAAAGAATCTCATCCATAATCATTGACAGTCGGTAGCAACCTTCGTCCTCCCCACATGCTTTACCTTGACGGTACCGCCGTCCCCATCAAACTCCCTCCCCAATCTCATTCTCCTACTTCTCCATCCATTCATTGTCTTTTTTATCCAGCCCCAACCTCTGCGCACACCCACCTTCTTTCAACTCCAAGATCAAAACCCCTCAAAGGTCATTCAACTTGGAGAGATCCAGTTATCACAAAATTCATTCTCGACCAATCACCTCCTTACTCCTCTTTATTTCTTTGATTTGCAGGAACTTTTTGTGAATGATTTCTGCTGATTTGTGGGAAGAAAACAAATTTTCTTGCTGATTTGTGACAAGAAAGAAACACTGCTTCGCGATGAGGAAGAAGCACAGGACGCAGGAGGGAGGCTTTTCCCTTTTTTTTTTACAAGGATATTTTTGTATTTTAATTTTATTTATAATAAGTGAATATAAAAATATATTTTATTACCCTTTTTTTTTACAAGGATTTTTTGTTTTTATTTTTATTTATAACTAAGTGAATATAAAAAATATATTATTGCCCCATTCCTAATATAGCACCAAATAAACTTATTTAATCAACAATA